GATGAACTGACCCCAACCTCCATTCCCCAACCCCCTGTGCTGATGGCGGGGAACAGGGAGAGAAAATCGGGACTGAAGTTGAGCGTGAGAAGAAGGGAAGGGTGGGGGGAAAGTGGTTTTGGTTTTATTTCTCATTACTCTACTCTGATTTGATTGGTAATAAATTAGACTAATTTCCACAAGTTGAGTCTGATTTGCCCATGAGGTAACTGGCGAGCGATCTCTCCCTGTCCTTATCTCGATGCAGGAGCCTTTCGTTATATTTTCTCTCCCCTGTCCAGCTGAGTAGGTGAGTGATAGAGCAACTTTGGTGGGTACCTGGCATCCAGCCAGGGTCAACCCACCAAACCCTCAGACCAGCAAAGATATTCTTTTGTAGAAAGGAAATCCTGCACCAGTCTGGTATATCTGCATGTGTTCTAATGAGGAGTCATGCATACATCGTTCTTTCCATTTTCTCATGTTATTTCTCCTGCAATAACATCTATTAAGTCAATAGATTTTCTAAACAATGCAATAGATTCAGCTGAACAATGGAGCTGTTTCTGCAGTATAATTTTGAAGTCTTACCAATAATTACATATTCATCCTCTGAGTCACTGTGGCAATGAAATCTGGTAACCTCATGATGTGATGGTAGATGCACTGGGGAGCTGACAGGCAGCACCGCACAGCCTGTCCAGAACAAAGACAGCACCAGTTAATCTCTTCTAGCGTTTATAGAGTAGTTGAAACTATATTTATATTTTTCTTCGCTTTAGCACCCAGCCTGTATTTACAGAGCAATTTTATTTATTTATATACACACACAAAGCCAATTCTTGGGAGTCTGTCATACAGCATGTTCCTCAGTTTCTTAGGAAAAAAGCTTTTGGTTTAGTCTCTAGAAGCTTCATATTCTCAGTGGTCTCTCCCTTTCTCCCATGGAACCACACCATTCATTTTTCTCCAGAAGTTTTCTCATTAAGACTTTAGACTTAAGTTCCATTGCTAAGATCATAAGAGACTAAAATCTACTTAAAAACATGCTGACTAAAGCATTATAGTGCCAGAAGCATTTATTATCTTGCCTCAAACTGTATGTGAATTAATACTCTGGGCAGTTTCACTCAAATCAATTGTGTGGCCTGATCTGCATACTGCAGAAGTAAGCATAGAAGGAAAGAGCCAAGCTTCAAATCCTGTAAAAGGGGATTTAAGCAGAGAGAAAACCAGCCAACTACAGGCACATTCTATCGAAAGTTGTGCTTGGCATGTGGCACTTCAACCCTACATTTTATTTTTTATGTTAAAAAAAAATAAATCAACTAACACACACAGATGTGAGCATTCAAAAGGAATAATCTGACCCACAGGGAAAACACTTGTAGCATAACGATCCTCAGGGAACACAGCTCTCAAGAGACTGAAAGAAGGTAATGGAGGATTTGGTTCCAAGCAATGCCCAAACTAATTTAGTATTTTCTTGCACAAAAACAAATAGCAAAGGCTGTCAGACAAGGTTGCATTATAGACTAAGTAACTTGCCTTCATAACCACTGTCTGAAGAGGCAACAGAAGAATCAGACTTCTTCACTCCAGGGTAAGAAGGTAACTCTGAATCAGTGTGATAGCTGCCATCTGATCCACTTGTTTCCTCCACACCCCAGGACTCTGCTTGTTGGCTTAGGATATTACATTTCATTTTTTCTAGTGATGCTATAATCATATCTGCAACAAAAAAGTGTGCGTTTTCCTAGACACAAGATTGGAACACTCATTAGTACACAGCATGTTTGATATTCACTTAAGATGAACTGAGATATATATTTTTCCCCGTACTTTTTCAACTGAAGACATGAAAATGCGAGGCTATCTCACCTTTCATTTAAACACCAAAAAACCCACCCCAAGGGCAATTCAGAGACAACATGCAAAAGGCAACTGCCCAGATAACTATCTCATCCTTAATCAAAACATACAATTTACTTTTATCTTACCCATCTATTAGATAAAAAGAAACTTGATTACATGCCTAATTGATGAATATGTATGCATTTTAGGGACATAGTCTTCTAGTTACATCGCATTATTTAGTATGCAAGTGTGAATCCGTGTAACCTATTAAATATGATTCAATTTCAAGTCAGTGTGTACAAGCAGTTTTGCACGCATGCTAACTTGGACAGGGCCAGAAGCGGCAAGTTTTGAAGCAACTCTCGATCTTCAGATGGTGGGTAGTATAGAAGCTAGTAAAATGCTTTCATATGTTAAGAGTTAAGGCAGTGAAGTAGGGAACATGCAGCGAGATAGCTTACACAGTCAACACAAGGCTGCACAGAAAGCTTGTGATAAGGGTAAGTGGGAACCCAGCTGCCCTGAGGTTCACACTGCCTTAAATAAAAGGTAGCCGTTTCAAAGCTTCACCGTAGCATTTCCCTGCCAGACAACCCCTCCCCAGGCTGTCCCCTGCCATCTGGCCTGCCCGGGTCAAACCTGGGGCTCCCTGCCCCAGTGTCATTGCTGTATCTCTTGCTTCCTATGGTCTAACAGAGCATCCCACCAGCCCCACCTGCACTGCTACTGCTGCTGGCCTGGGCACAGCTTCCCAGCTCAGGCTCAGCCCAAAAGTGGATGCATCATGGAGAGAAAGGTGCACTCAGCTACATGGATGGAAACCCAGAGATGCCCAGGATACTCTCTCCCCTCAACTGCATGTGTTTGCATTGTGCAAAGCTGAAGCTCCGTCTAAAAAACCACGGCAGTATCCAAGGCTAGAGTTTCTGGGTGCAGAATAATTAAAGCTTTATAGAAGTGGCTTATGCTCAGAGAATTGTACCACTCAACGTCAGTATTCGTGACATCCCCTACAAACTGTATGGGAAGCATGAAGAAAGACATCAGTGTTTAGAAACAGCCAAATCTTAAGGAGCACAACAGACATCACTGCTTTCTTATTGTCCATGGCCAAATCCATTTAAGAAGACATTCATCTCAACATTAGAGAGAGCCCACAAGTCCCTGTGGGTGTTTGAAGAAACTTTTATCTTTTCCTTAACACTGATTAACATCACTCGCTTGGCACAGTTTCTCCAGAGACAACTTTCAGTGAACTTTAGGACACACCATGAGCAAAGGAAGAATTAAACAGCCTTTTTCCTTTTGGGAGATAAGGAAGACATCTCCTGCTTTGAAGATTCAAAAAGCCTGTGCAGCACTGGTTAACCCTGAGTTAGTGGCAGAGCACAGCATACTGGCACATCTTGCTGATAAAAGCAATTATAAATGTATCTGAAAGAGCTGCATTGCAAAAAGATGGAACAAGATACAGGCACTCCTGTACTCAGCATGACTGTCAGCTTTCAGCTCTGCCTCCTAATAGTTCCATCACCCTAGGAAGCAGTCCCAACTCAGCTGTGACACACCAACCTTCTCATTTCTCTTCCCTCCCACTCGCATCAGTGGAAAGTCCCTCTTGATTATGTGGCCCATCTCCTTCCTGGCACACGACTACAACTCTCAGATTTGCTGACACTATGTGTAGCTTAGCTTTCAGTCTCCTAAGTTTCAAAGAGATCATTTCACAATCTAAAAGTGGGGCTTTTTGTTGTTGTTGGTTTTTGTTTGTTTTTAAAGACAGCCTCAGTCATAATGGACTGAGCTCTTGACATCTTTTAACCTGTTTTGGTATCTTTTAACCATTTGCACAGGAGAAATAGCCGATGCGATCTTGCCTCACTCAGTAGTTCTCAAACTGTGGTTTCTAATCCAACTATCTACTCACTGGTTTCCTGGCGACTGAAAGCAAGTTACTTTGGTTTTGGTTCCCACATTACAGATGGAGAAACATCTCCTTTCTGAAACATCTTTCACAAAAAGCAACATGAAAAGCTAGTGCACAAGTTCGTTGGTTTTTGGTGTGTGATGTATTGGGTGGGTTTTCGGTTTTGTTTTATAAGTGCACCTTAGACACACTGAGAGCTTCAAATCAAATGCAGAACTTGCCACTCCATTAAAACCAGTGCTGTGCACAAAGATGATTACCTGTTGGGCCCAGGATATGGGACCACATGCAAATCCACAGTCCAGCAAAAAAAAAAACCCCACACCACCTCCTTTTCGAGGCACATTTGTAAAGCTCTTCTGTATTAAATCCTACTCATTGCAATAACTAATTATAACATTAACCCCTCTTTACGAATTGTTAGAAAAGATTAACATTTAGCACACATGTGACAGCATTATCTTCTCATCTTTATCTCTGTTTATAAGCTCAAATGGGCTGCCTATGCGGCATCACGCCTAAGACCATTTTGCCCCCTTATGCAAGTTAGAAACCATGAGAAACTTCTTAAATTTCTGCAGATTTTACAGTTACTGTGCTTGTTATTCATATTGTCATTCTTTCACAGCAATCTCACATGCTCATCATAAGCACACACAAAAAAAGCCCCAACCTCTCCCTATCTCCTGACAGCAAAAGCATGAGGTAAATCCCATCCAAATGCATGCAGCTGCAGCAAGTTCTATGTAACATATTCTAACGTAACTTTAAAGTCACTACAACAATCTTAAAGTTTGGTCTCAAGGAATGCGTGGGAAAATGATGGAATACAAAGCAGAAATGTACAGTGTTCTAAAATACTTCCATTATTTTAAAATAATTAAAATATTTAATTAATGGATTAAAAGTAAAAAATAAATTAAGCAATAGGCATTTTAGGTTTGTAGGTTCACCTACAGAGGGGAAGAAGAGGAAAATTACAGTATTTGTAGATTAGTCCATCTATCAGAAAGTTCTGTTATTGAGAAACACCTCCTGTCATTTGGTTTTGTCACTATAAAATGGAAAAAACATTATGACAATGGTCTTTGTTGTCCTCACCTTCTCCACATCTTCTGGAAGCATGCAGATGTCCTGCAACGAACGATTCAAGGCTATAGCACTTACGTTCAAAGAAGTAGAACCTGTGGGTATAACAAGAATTTTTTATCAGTTATTTTTTTCTCTGCAGCTCCCAGGATGTGTGCAGGGTGATTTCCAGAAAGCAAAGCAAACTTTTTTTCCCAAAACTGAATACCGTTGGGGCTGGAGGTAGTGGTGGAAGTTAAGGAGAAGGAGAGAGAAATGCAAGGAACACGTTAGCATTTGAGCTACCCTGGCAACTTGAAGCGCAAGTATCATCTACCAGGGAAACACAGTTTAAATGCTGTGCGGTGACGGCACCGCTGTGCTCCCAACACCAGCCCTCTCCCAGCTACAGCCTGAGCTGCTGGGGACAACCACAGCCAGAACTTCGGGCTGGGATTACAGCCATGCTCTGCCAGCTAACACTGCTCTCTGCTCATTCACAAGTGCTGGAAGAAAGAGAAATCTCACTGCTGTCTGGGCATGCAGAGAGATGCATCAGCCTTGAAAGATGCCCTGAATCCCTGCTGGTATTGCGCGACTACAGGAAGTTTTCTTCCAAACTTTGCCGTTATGTTTCCATAACATTGAGGAAATCTCCCTCCCATTTCCAAATGCAACCTATACTGCCTGGTAATACGTACAACTTGGGGGGGACACATTAGCCGCAGTGTTCCCTGCTTCCCAGAATAGCAGTTTTGTTCTTCTGGCATTTGCTGCTGAGTATCATGAGCATGTGAAACAAAATTAATCTCATTTTCCCGTTAAGAACTTTTCACTATGCACCCAAGCACACATCTGGTTTTCTATAGATGTACCATGGATTGCTTTTTATATATAAATATATACATAGTAACTGAAGGTGTGAGATCATACCCTCATGTTTTGTTTCCAAATCACTCAGAACCACTGCTACAAGAAATCTGGTGGAAAGATGATGAAGAGTATATATAATGTCTGTGGATATACACACTAATGAGATATGAAAGGAAACTACTCCTGTTTTTTCACACCGACTGGTGTGTGTTTACTACCTCTTCTTTGACCTTACAAGCAAGCAATTTCTGTTTCACTGCGGTGATGTTTACAGGATAAAACAGACCATACTGAAATGCTATGACCACATGTGCCATTTAAAGCTGTAGCAGATAACATGGCTTAATCAAAGGCTCTTTGTGAAAAACAAAAAAAAATTGCCACTCCTAAATTTGTTTAAAAGTCACAGAAAGGATAAAGAGGTCTCACAAAACATGAGAATAACTTATGAAAACTTTTTTCCAGCTGAAGGGCACTGACTCTCAGGCCCAGTTTAGATTCTTTATATTGCCTTACTTATAAAAAACCACATTACGCTGCCCTGAGCATAGGTGACATCAGGCTAGAAAGTCAGTACTGTGCTCGAGCATAGCGACAGAGACATAGTGTTTTTGTACAGAATTATTAATACTGCCATTGTGTATACCATGAAGGAAAAATGGAAAGGCTGACGATCTGACTTTTCAAAACAGATTTAATCACCTAATTAGGTTATTTGCATGCCTATTTGATGATTCATCTTACTGGATAAGCAACATGAAAGGAGTATAGCTAAGCACTAAAGGCTCTGCAGCTTGATAAAAGCCTACATTCTCATCAGTTAAGATAACAAACATTACTCTGTGAACTAAAAATAATAAACAGAAATAAGGAAATGGGAAAATTATTCCTTCCTCTTTAAAGTATAAGATGCAATTCATCTTAAACATAATTTTGAAATCTAATGGGAGCTTTCTCTTTTCTTACGTCTTACATCCCACTTGCATCTTTAAGCGAAAAGAATGTAAAGTGGGAAAGAGCCCAGCATATCCAGCAATGGGACACAATTCTGGATCTGATGCAAAAAGTGATGTGGTTGCCCTTCTCCTCCTGGGCACTGTTGCCTGGAGGCTGCTGAGGCTGGGGAAAGAGCCCTCAAGAGTCACAGAAGGAAGTGACCTCGATGCACACAGAGGTTAAAAGCAAGAACAAACCCTGTAAACTGCCAGTGACACACCAGCCACAACAAAGCTCCCAGAAAACACTAAATTCAGTCACAGGCTCTTCATTAAGAATGATGGAGCCTTTTCAGAAGGTTGCACGAAGCCACAAGAGAATGGCCCTTAAAAGTATGAACAAGACCTGACAGTAGTCTCACAAGACCAGCAGAAAATCCCACTGAAAAACATGTTAAATTCCACTGCAAAAAATTATTTATTCTGACTCGTCATCTTACGTCTCTCTTGCATCTTGTGCATCCCTCACCAATTCTATTGTGAGAAACAAAAGTGAGAAACCACCACCTCTGAGATAGCAATGGAAAGGATGGCAAGTCAGGAGATGCTCTTGTGCAAATCCTGCCTTCAAATTGGGCATTTTATCTCTTCTTTTTCAGTTTGCCACTTGCTTTTCCCATCCTTATAGTCCTGCACAATGCAGAGGAGAATGAGACTTCACTCCCCCCGCCCCAGGCTACCCAGTGGCGAGTTAAATAGCTGAAACCAACAAGGAACAACAAAAATGCAGAAATTTTCACTTCGTACAGAACAAACCAAAGCCTAATGCAGACAGAGCCCACCACACTGCACTGTGTCTAACTGAATCCTGGCTCCAGCGAGGAATATTTGTGAGCAAAATCAAGGACGCTACTTCTCCAGTCATCTGGCTGCCGTATTCCTCCATTTGCCTTCTGGAGAGCCAGCAGCATTACCGACCCAACGCAAGCTTGTGACATATCCTACTCGTGCCAGAAGACCGAGTCACGCACAATTTATTTGTCCTTACACATGTGCCTCACGGTGCCCGCTGACACCGAGAGCCTGGGCTGTGTTTTCCAGGCCTGGCTACCCAAACCTGCAGGACTGGCCCCAGCAGGCTCCAACCACCGGGTGTGGTTTCCTTCTCCCTGACGGGCACCTCTCAAATGCATGGGGCCAACAAAACACCCATCAGAAGGAAACGACCATAATCGTCATCATACTAACTGTTGACGACAGCCTACCCCAGATGACAAAGCTGTTATTATTAAGAGCTCCCAGACCTGCAATGGCATGTGCCTATTTGAGATCTTGCTGCCAACTTGAGGCCGTGGAGGAGCCCTTAGTGAATCACTAGAAAGGACCAGAGCTTGTAAGTGCAGCTCAACGCAGTGTCAACAGTAGGACTACTATTGACCAAAGGAAGAAGAAAAAAAACAAACAAAAAAACCCACAAAAACAAAAACCCACACCAATCAGCCTTTGCCATTTTTATTTATAACACAAAGGCAGGCTGAGTGCTCCCTGCTGTTTGCCTTCTTTCCAGTAGAAAAATCAGGCCTCAGTTCCACCATCTTTCTGAGGCTCAGTATGTAGTAAGATTAAGCCCTTAGATACCAATAACACTCTTTATAAATAAAATAAAAATGCTTCATCTTGCTGTAGCAAAGGCTGTTGGTATTAACCCTACATATTAAACACGAGGGGACTGTTCTGCTGTCCCAGCTGAGGGGCAGGGGTCCTGGCCTGCAGCCCAGGAAGGCCGGCATGCCTCATGGAGGCACACGCAGCCCGGAGGCCATGCCAGGCCAACCGCTCCACCGCCATCTGAACATCCCCACTGAACAGGTCCTCACCTACAGGCCTGCGCCACCCTCAGCCCCCTGCCACTGCAGGAACAGGAGGCACCCTTTGCTAGCAGCCCTCAGTCTGTGTCTCTTCACAGACAACATGCGGGATATCCATGCTGGTTGGAAACTGGCGAGGGGTAAAAAGATCCTGATCTGTAGTGGACGGGGCTACATGTCTCTGAGATGGCGGGTGCATGTGGAAAGAGGAAGAGGAAAAATAGTCCCGCTCTCGCACAAGTTGATTTAGTCATAATGAGATTGGATGTTAATGCCCTGCCTCTAAAATCACAGAATCAAAGGACTCCTCCAGCTCACATGAAACACAAGGAGATGTCTCAGGGAGCCCGTACACACCAACAAATCACTGCCGAACACCTAGGTCCACACTATGCTTTCAGGAGAAACGTAATGGCGAAGACAAGATAAAGTTGGTGGAAGTCTCATCCAGTGGATGTTCTACATTGCTCACAGTTCAGTGATTTTTACATTTTACCAAAGGTTGCATATTACAGAAGCATTTCTCATCACAAGACAGATGACTACTACAAGCACAAGTGTCTCCTGTTTCACCATGTCCAACTCTCTGGTACTCCTTCATTTTTACAGCTTTCTCTTTCTCCCCTCTCTCCTATTTTGAATGACAGCATTTGTCCAATTCGCAGTCACCATAAACAAGGCTCATTTCAATTACAGTTGTCTTTCCTAGCACAGAAATCTTAAAACAAAAATGGACCTGTAAAGTTACCTGTTCGATTGACTGGCTCTGACTGGGAATGTCCACTGGGAGAACTGCTGTCACTGTTGCTGATGGGCACAGGCTCCAAAGCATCGGGGTATTTCAACAGATCTGCTGGCTTACCAACAGTTGAATCGGAAAGAAACCTTGTGAAAGTCAAGTCTTGCTCAGGGGAGGTATAACGTTCTTCTCCAGAATGCACAACAGTTGATGTGACAGTGCCTCCTGTTAACGTCACCTGGGTAAAGCAGTCCCGCTTCAGAGGGGACACATCTGAAAGAGTGAAACCATTCAAGGAGGAAGCAGCAGGATCCCCGTCAGAGTAACAGGGACAAAAGAAAGCACCCAGTGAAGGTTTAGAGGAATCGCAGCGTGTGTTGTCCCAACACGCCTGGTGCCTTGTAAACCGAATGTCTGTTTGTGTACAGGCAGCATTGTGATGTGCAGAATCGCTGTCGCTGTCATCTCTGCTATCCCCAGCGCTGCTTTCTTCCCACTGTTCCATGTCACTGTCAGGATGCTCAGCTCTCTGCATTGTGGTCTGCTCCAGCATCAAAGAGGGCTTCAAACCAGATGCATTTAAAACAGACATGAGAATGTCTCTGATAGCTTCAGCACTGTCTGGGTAGGATCCAAAACTTCCAGCATGTCCAATCACTGCTGGCCTTGAGTATTCATCTGTTCAGAAAAGGGAAAAAACCAAGAGGTTAGGAAACAATCCTAAGAAAAGGTGAATTTACAACATGAATAAAACGCACGTTATTTTTGACACAGGCGAGAAGACAAAGACCTGAACTGATGCACCACTCTGCTGCCTCTTCCTGCAAGGAAGCTCTTACTTTCTGCAGTCAGGAAGCAATTCTGTCATTGATAAGATCAGGTAATAAACCAACAGTAAAGTATGCTGCTGCTAGCCTAACACAATTAGTTACGTCTTTAATTGTGACTGATTGTTAGTGTGCTTGAAAACATCATTGTTCTACAAAACTGGCTAAGGTACAGTTACCAGTGCAATTACTGGTTCCATTGCCAGTAAAAGAGGTCACGTTATAGCAAGACATGTGGAGAATCAATACAGCAGGAAGAAAAAAAAAAAAGCTTAGTAATAAAAGGTCACATGCTTGCGTGTTCCAGTTCAGACACACCTCCTCATGTGGAAAAGGCTAAAGTAACCTTCTTAGTAACCCTTACTCACAGGGGTGGCAACATTTACATGAACCCATAAAGAAAATTAGCTCTGAAGGAATCAAAATCAATGCCTCTGAAGGAATCAAAAGTACTGCCTGACAAGGTCCTGCGTGATCTACTGCAAAATCGTAGTTCGACAGAAAATGGAAAAACTGCTTTTAGTGGCAAACATCGCAACATCAGCGTGATGTAGAAGTGTGCACTGCAACCAGGAGGTATTCAAGAATATATTGAAGTCCTATACCTTGAACAAAAAGCCTTGCAGAAATTGCCGTCATCCAAGCATCGGAGAGATTAGACACAAAGTCTATGTTCAACAAGAAATTATCAACCACATCACAACAATGAAGTTAACAACTGCCTCCTTTGGGGAAGGTAAGTCAGTTGTAAAATTCTAAGAATAAATACAATCAAAAAGGTTAATTTCCAGGGCAAAGAACTCTTAGTTAGCACCATGAGGAATGTTAAACACTGCTGGTGAAAAAAGCAGCAAGTCTTGCAGACTTTGCCCAGAGGCTGCTCTCCTTGGACACATCTCAATGGAAAACAGTAAACCTCTCCACAAGTCACTCACCTGGAAGCCAGCATGCATTCAAACTGCATGATAAGAAAGCTTATTAATGGAGGGATCAAAACCAAAACAAAAACCCTCACATACTTTGAAAAAGTAAGTCTATATAAAGAGTAGTCCTCATCAAGAGAAAGCTGAAAAAATTATTAAGAACATCACATATAAGCTATACTGCAAGAGCTGCTAGCAATGCTGTCCTACTAAAGCCAGGTCAAAATTAGCTGAAGAGTTCATCAGTGACTGGGACCAGCCACCTGCCACTTATCATGACAAAGTTCCTGCAGAAATAGCAGCAAAACTGCACATTTTACTGGCTGCACTTCCAAAGAAACACCTTGCCACCATAGCCAGCCATGGCAGTGTAAGGGCAGGAATGGGGAAAAAAAAAAAAAAAAAAGGCTAGCTGACTTTCAAACAAACATATTTCAATCTTTTCAGGAAAAGAAAGCAATTTTGGTAATTCCTGACATTTCATTTACATAGGAATACCTTAACCTGGGCTGCAAACAGCATCTTTTCTGTGCAAGGCAAAATATTTAGTCTTACTGTCTTCAACTCTTCTGCTCTGCTCTCCTATTGCAGAGCCCATCCCGACGGCCTTTCCATCCCCTCTCATCCTTCATCATCTCCACTACTCCAGCATCATGGAGCATCTCCAGCATTAACGATTTAACCATGCTGAGTTACTCTGTTAAATACTTGTTCTTAGTGGATTGTAAGAGAAAGAAGAACAAGTTTTAGAAATTTAACTCACACTTCTGCTCTGCTAAGCTTAAACTGCACCCACCACCCCCCAAAAATAAACCAAACCCCAACAAATAAACCAAAACCCACATTTTAAGAACTTCCAGAAATAGGTTAGTTCCAACTGAAAAAAAAAATAAATCTCAAGTTCAGTTTTGCAACTGATACTCATGTGAGTAATTACGGTAATCTATTAAAATTTGATAAACTATTTCTTGAATGAACAAAGAGTTAACCTGCCAGCTTCTGAATGGTTCAAGTATTTTAGTCTTGAGCACTTGAAATGCTAGCATAACTAGAATGGCCAAACTACCATTTAAAAGGCAAAAAATTGCATACTTTCAAATTGTATATTATATTTTGATGTTGTCCCATCTTCAAAGCCAATAAGCAAGGTTCCCTCTCCAACCAGACTATACATGTTTAGTACACACAAACATCGAGAGCTTTTGCTAGCACTACAAGCACTAGCAAAGTTCCCCAGAGGAAAGCATTTTAGAACAAATTGGCATACCTGAGAGAACGGAGATTTGAGGTGTTGGAGCAAGGCAGCTAATCCTCACTGAGGCATTTGAAGAATACGCTGACTCGGTGAAAGCCACCTTTAGGCTTTCGTGGTTTAACTAGAACAAGAACACACAGACAGACAATTTGGTAAGACAACGGTACTCTGGTAACAATACCCCCAGTCTCACAGCCATCCCAGCAGGAAGAACACCGTGCTAAGGACTGCTGAAAGTCACATAACCACTGCCTATATTTCTGGTTGTCTGAAAATCTTCCCAGAAGCACGCACAGTCTGAAGAGCACTGGCATCTCAACTCCGCATCTCGCATTTCACTCCAGAAGGCAGGTGACCAAAAGAAACTCTCCACAGTAGGAGAATTAAACACATGCATAAGGCATATACGAGACAAAATGCCAAATCAGATGTCTGTGTATCTGTCAAAACAACAGCAGTCAAGTGGAAAAGAATTCAAGGAACTACCAATCTTTAGCTGGAAGCACTGGCCTGTTTAGATGCATACAAACTATGAGCTAAATCTATGAGGCCCCTACTCCACAAGCAGGGTCAAATAAACACATCTGGCTACTTTGATAGAACATAGTACACATGGTTCATGTCAGCAACATGGTTCATGTCAGCAACATGGTTCATGTCAGCAACATGGCTGACCCAGCATAAAGCGAGAAGCGACACAAATAGATAATACTCAACCTGGCATACAGCCTGCCAGTATAAACCGACAAGAATTTTGAATGCATTTGAACTGACTGAGCAGGTTTATACCAGATCAGCATTTCACTTTGTGTGGTCATGACGCTTCCGATTCAGTATTTCTCACCCTAAAGCTGGATTTACCGTATTATCAAACCAGCATAAGCTGAACCAGGGCAAGCAGTTTAGTGCAGATACCGAGGGGCTAATTCCAACAAGGGAGCAAGACACACTCAGGACAGAGAAGCAACAGGTCTCTTCCCCAAGCTCACAAATTCTTTGTGAGGGTCACACATTGTCTCCTGCTCCCTCTCCACTGCCTCAAGTATGCCATGGACCTGCAGAGCAGGTCACAGAAACCAGGGAAATCAAAGGAGTGCCCTGCTCCACGCTTAACCAAGGTGTACCCCGCTCACAGACATCAGTAAGATGTCTCCACACAGAAGCATCCCCAGGATGCCTGCCTCCCGCCCTCCCCTGCACCCTGGGATCCCATACAAAGAGAAGGGAGTTCAAACGTGTGCTGTCCTCTGCCACCCTGCGTTGACCCCTAGGTTCCCTACGCAGTCCCTTGGGAGAGCAAGGTGACTCAGAGCAGATCTAGTCCAAGATACCCTTCAGACTCACGGAAAGCAGAAGAAATTAAACCCACAAAGAATTTCCCTTTTAACTGACGAATAACATTTCAGGCCAAAAATAGTGTGCTGAATTTCAAATATTTAGTGTTTGATTATGCCAGTGCTTGGAAAAATGCTCTTTTCAGTATCTGATAGTGCTTTCTTCTTCTTTTTTCCCCTCTGCGCTAATTTAGAGAAACCATCGTGTAGGCAGGCTTTATACATATAAATATCATATTGTTGATGTTACTGGATATTGGTTCTTACAGGAACTCATTTTATTAATTACTTTTATCAAAAAAAAGTTTTTAATATCAGCAATTAACAGCCTCTGCCTCTTAGGATGCAAGTATCACAACCGCCTGACACCAGGGTGAATGCAAGTACTTTATCAGTAAGTATAAATATTAAGAGTGCTAAGGTTTAAGATTTTATCTTTTTTTAAAATAACTCTCCCATCTCTTAGATCTTATCAGAAGCAACCAGTGTTCTGAGAATTCGGAAAAAGATTTCCTTTTACTTTCAAGATGTTACAATTTCAACTGTAACACAGATTGGGAAAGAGCTCCTTTAGTATTTAACAATCAAACTAAAAAAAAAGTAATTAAGGAGCACTTATAAGGAAATACAACAACTGAGGTGCATGAAAAGTAGATGCTGTCATAACTAATAAAAACCAGAGTTTGGTATCTTTTATAGTATAAATGAGTCAGCCTTTCCCCCCTCAATATTTGGATTGTACTTCCAAAATTAACTCTGTAATGAAAGCGCCAGCATTTAAAACTATTTATCACAACCACTGACAACTAAAAAGTTATTTTTTGAAAAAAGTCCCCTCAGCTAACAAAAACACTGAGCCAACATTTAGATGCCTTCCTTGCCTCACCTTTTTAGAGCAGCGGTGCTTGAAGACTTCTGTGCTGCTGTAGCTGGCTAGAGCTACTGCATGGAGAGACATGATGGGAAAGCATTCATTTTTTGTTGTCGGTAAATACCTGGAAATAGAGAAAGCATTACAACCACCACCACGTTAACCGCGATTCTCCATGTGTTTTCCAGACTCTACATTTAAGATTCTGAGCTGTTTTCGGTCTTGACTTTACGTGCTTATAAGTTTACCGAAAAGCAGAGCTCAGCAACAATGGAAATCTGTGTTAGGAAGAGCCTAATTTAGAATTTAAAGCAAACAAACACCACAACGAGAACGCCTACCGCAGGCGTAAGAGGAATATACTGATCTGCTGTACCCCACGGTTTGTTGTAAAAGGAGGAAGAGGCAGAGCGGTCTCAGCAGCAATGAAGCCCCCGGGCTCCGGCTCTGTAGCCGAGGGGCTGCTCTACCCCCGGTACCGGGCAGGGAAAGGCACGGCGCTGTCCTCCCGGCACGGCGCCGGGAAGCCGCGTAGCCCTTCACACGAAAGCGCTCAGCCTACCGGACAGCTTTAGAGAGCGTTTAATACGGATAGGCAGAGAGACACCGAAATATCCCACCGCCCGAACGCCTCCCGCCCCACCAACGCGTACCATACTCCCCGCACGACACCCACCGACCGACCGACCGACCGACCGACCGA